GTTGACGGTGATTAAATACTTTGCCTATACGTTTATATAGTCAGCTCCACATAGCTGTAACACATTGCTGTGGAAATTAATATGCGTTTGTTGGATAACTGTTGTGTAAATTGCTCCCATAGAACACCCAGTATCAATGCTCAATGCATACACACACACACCTGCTCACATACAGACGCACAAAAATACGGGCAGGTGACACGGACGTTCCTGACACGGGACATTGTTTGCAATGACCAATCAGACCGCAATTAACGGACAGTTAAATATAAACCAATGCTTTTGGGAAACGCTACACGTTCGCGGTGATCCTCCCTCTGTTCTCAATCAGTGTGAACTGCACCATTTATCTCGTTAAAACCTGCCCGGGGATCAGTCGGAAAACTGACACTTCACGCCAGTTTGACGAGGTGATATGCGACACGTGGTCGAAGCATTAATTTGTTTTGGAATCGCTTATCTGATATTCGCTCCGCTATATTCGTCTGCACCACTGCAAACAAACACATACACATGTGCAGAATTCAGTTGTCAAACATCAGTTCGTTGTTTGGCAGATTTGAAGTTTTTATGTCGATTGTGAAAAGTTCAGTAGTCTCGTTGGGATTCGAACCCACGCATGGACGCCGTCTGCATTTTGTACGGGTACGCTCTACCAGCTGAACTACGAGGCCAAACCGACTGAGCACTGATCTTTACACATTCGAATTTACCCATCCAAACAACAACTTGAACAATTAACCTTGTCTTAGGAGCTCATTCGGTGGACTCCGGTGAATTCTATGGGGAACCTGTCGGGCCAGTCAGCTTACATGCTAACTGGTGGATGCCATATGCCTCTGTAAGTTGGATGGTTAAATTCGAATGTGTAAAGATCAGTGCTCTGTCGGTGTGGCCTCGTAGCTCAGCTGGTACAGTGTGCGCGTACATAGCGCAGGCGGCGTCCATGCGTGGGTTCGAATCCCAACGAGACTACTGAACTTTTCACAATCGACATAAAAACTTCAAATCTGCCAAACAACGAACTGATATTTGACAACTGAATTCTGCACGTGTATGTGTTTGTTTGCAGTGGTGCAGACGAATGTAGTGGAGCGAATACCCTCTCCGATCTGAGCTATAGTCATGAATGGCTCCGGGTTGATAAAACATGCATGCGTGAATGCATGTTTTATCAACCCGGGGCCATTCATGACTATAGCTCAGATCGGAGAAGGTATTTGATAACTCATTTGCGGGGATAACTCGCGCTGCTCTGTCGTTCCGCGCAATGCCAAGCTTTCTCGCTCAGGTCCATATGAACGCTCAGAATCCCAGGACGACCAAATTTGTCTGCTTCTCGCAAGCAACTCATTGTGCATCCACACTACTCATAGTGCGGTGTTTCACATGTTTAAACTGACACGCGCCATGCGTCATGCTTCAACCGTCAATTTGAATCTACCTCTGAAATATTGTTTTCTTCTTCTTCTTCGAGAGAGAGATTTCACAAGCCTCCTGTCCCATCTCATCCCAATCCATCGTGTAATGTAATTACCTTTTCTGTTCGCAGCGATTGTATTTGTATTTAGTTGACAAAACTCAATCTTCCATTTGATTGTCATGTTGTCCACTAAAAATTTAAGTTTTTTCTGGAAATTGCTTTTGAAACCCATTTTCTAACATTTAATTTTCATTTATGTATCATTCTAACAACAGTTCCGATTGACCTCTGTCTGCTCTTCTTCTTTCACCTCGCAATGAATCTCTTTGGTCAATCGTGCCAATAGACAAAGTAACCAGCAGAGGTGACTTCAAAGCTCGTCATGGTCACTGATTATCACTCTCCGCGATAACCACAACCGTGAGCCACAGGGTGGAACTGCTAGCCATGTCAAGATGGATCGATAAATCGGGCACCATGCCCAGAGGTGAATACGGGGATGAATCATTGTATGAGTGGAATCAGTCTAGGCCCTTAGTATCCTAAGTGAGCAAATTCCACTGGGACCGTGATTCCCTCAGATAACATCGATTCCTTTGAATCAAATACGATTGCCTACATATTTCTGACATTGAAAGATACTTAACAATGGTACAAGGATACAGTAAAAGAATTACCAGCATTTCACCTGAATAGTAAAATCAAATTCAAACCTATTAACCAACTAACAGAAATCACATTTTTCTCTGTCATTCCCGGGCTGACTGGTACAATCGACCCACATAGCCAATGGCAACAATTTGTCTCCTGCAGCTTCTCGCTTCGCTGCTCAGCTTCATTTATTGTTTCATTCATCAACCCGTCACACCTTTTCACGTTCTGATTGTATCCGTTCGATCCTGATAGTTCAGTGAACAAGACAGGTGGTGATAGGGATGAGCTAATGGTATCCATGATCTCACAAACTACAATAACCGTCTAATGGGTGCTCCATGGGGTTTTAAGTTGAGATGGATAAAGTATTTTACCCACGGTTGTCTTGATATTGATCCGCAATTTTTTATACAGACGGAGGAACGTTTGTCTCCAATAAAGAATTCATGAAGAATCAGGAAAGTATGCTGCAAAGTGGCATCCACGGTGCCACTGAATGCCGGATAAGGGAAAAAGTTCAGTGGCACGGCGGACATCATTTTGCAGAATATTTCCCGGGTGTGTGGTACCACGAAAGATTGTGTGAACGAGCTACATATCATAAAGGTGGAAAGCAGTGAAATTTTTCTACTCAACTTCTCTGCAGTCACTGGCGTCTTCCGGATTATATTCATTCTACTCTGACCACTTAATGCTGCTTATCAATGGTCGATCACAAACGGCATGGAATTTATTGCATCGAAATGTTCGGTCGTATCCCCTCGACACAAAATTCGGTTTCCGTACTTCCTGGGAGATCAACAGCTTCCGTATGTCTCAAATGAA